ATCCTTGCGGCCCTCCTCTCCAGATACAAAAGTTTCTTGAGCGCTTACCATTGATTTCGATAAACCCAACTCGATCTCTTAACCAGAACGCAATCCACAGCACATAAGCTTTTGGAATACCTAACCCTAATAATTTGCCTAGGCAGCCCTCCCACCACAACTGATCAAAGGCCTGCTTAAAATCAACAAATACCGTAGCCACTGGAGAACTATTACTCATTAACGAGGATATTTGGTCCACCAGTAACAGAACACGAGATTGTAGACGAAAGTTTGCCCTAAATCCTGACTGTGAATCATGAAGAATACCTCTATTTGAAAGAATACGTTGAAAACGAACCAAAAAAAGACGTTCCAAAACTTTCAAAAAAACATCGAGTAAGGAGATCGGACGCGTGTCTTCCACCAAACAGACAGAGTCTTTCTTAGCAAGAAGTTTCATACGCACCCTTTTCCAGTAGGAAGGACCCACAAAGGAAGAGAGAGACAGATTAAAAATTTGTAAAAGCCCAACCCAAAAAGATGTGGGGATAAACTGAAACATAAAGGAAGAAATACCATTAGCATCACACGAATGTTTTTTCTTTCTCTTAGAAACTACTTTCATAAGTTCAGGGAGAGTGATAGGAGGAATTAACTCGTCGAAATTTTCCCATTTTATTTCGGGGGAGTCCACATATGGATGAGGACGATAGACCGTAGGTTTATCGAATAGTTTCTCGTAAAAGGTAGCAGCCATGTCTAACATATTATCTTCTTCCTTGACCACAACACCGTTCTCATCGAGAAACGCATTAAGGGAACTCGCGATTTTGAAATTTTTCTTCAGTTTAGACCAAAACGACACAGAATGAGAAGAAGAAGAAAAACGTTCCTTCATTGATCTAATCATCTGATTTGAAAGAAATAAACGTAGTTCATTCTTATTGTTTTTTCTCATTTGTTTAACTTTCGAGAGAAGAGAAGTGTCACCCGTTCTTTTTTGCTTTAACGATAACGCACGTGTGTATGATAATTTTTGACGTAGATCATTTGGAATAGCAACACGATATTTTTTCATAGAAAAATAGGCAGTACAACGTACTCTTAGAAGAGACAAAAATGTTACAAAGTTCGTGTACGATTCCTCCGTTGATGAGAGATTAAATTGTTCGGCCCAAAATTCACTCACAAAGGAAAGAAAATAGTTAAAAACTTTCCAATGTACAGAAAAACCTAACTGGTTTTCTTTTCTCTCGCAGTTGATCACTCCAATGAGAGCTTTATGATCACTTGTCACATGAAAGTTGCAGGCTTGGAGCGTGAGAGGTATCCCAGAAACAAAAGCATAGTCAATCTTTCTATTTGAACGAAGAGAAGTAGAAGAATCGGGTAAAATCGGAGCAAGAAAAAGCGAATCGGACCATTCAAGAAGACGCTTAGCTCTCTCTTTATCCGCTTTATCATCGAAATCGATGTTAAAATCACCTAAATAACAACACTTGTCAACCTTAAATCGCGATAGATCATCCCATTTCCATGTCTTATTCTTAGGTGCATACACTCCAATAAAACGAAGAGGTTCTTCTAACTTAACATCCACCACACATACGTTAGGTAGATCACAACGAACACGCGAACAAAGGAAGGAAGAACGAAAAACCAAAACTACCCCTCCCCAACTGTTTTCGCCTTTCTGGTAAAAAAACTTAAGGTTAACAAAAATCTGTGATAAAAAGTCCTTATCAACTGCACCAATTTCTACGAGAATCATACAATCTACTTTACCTTTTTCAAATAAAAGAAGTACTTCATGCCAACGTACATCAAGTCCTCTAACGTTAAATAAGAGGACATTCAAGTTAGAAAGAAGAGTCGAAGAAGGACTAGTAATAGAAACGTCTAAGGCTTTCCAAGAAGAGAAACACCTAGACAGGGTAGGGAAGGAGTACCACTCTTTACAGATATCTGACAATAAAGAAAGATCAGAATTTGACAAAAAAGGAACAGTTAAAGACAAGGCGTAATCAATATCAAATTTTCTTTTTTTCCCAGGCACAACAAAAAGAAATTCTGGGGCAAAAGGTGATAGTTCCATCGCATCAGGATATTGAGTCATATAACGTTCATTTGATTATCGTCACTCTGTGTTGTCTTACCTTCCTGCTGTTGATGAGAATGTCTTAATTTTAATAATAAATCATGTTTTTTATCTTCATTATCTGTATGTCTCGTCATCCATTTGGTAAACTCATTTGTAAGTTTATCACAATAAGCTGTTAATGATGAGGCTAATATTGATGAATCCCTGACCATATTTTGTTCAATTAATGATGGAACAACTTCTAAAACAAGTTGGCAAACAGGAGTAATAAATTGACTAACAAATTCTTGTTGAAACGTAACATCAATCTGTTGTACTTCTATTAATTGTTTTTGTTTATTTAATACCGTTTCAAATCGTTCGTTCATATCAATAATTCGATTTAAATTATCGTCAAGTTGTATGATTCTACTTTCTAAAGTTGATAAACGATCATTGTACTGATTTGAACGGCGATTATCAAGTAACGGGAATTCGCTATCGGCTACTTGAAAATACCCCTGTTTATTTTGATCGTTGTTGTTTTTACTCGTTGTTGTTGTTAATAATGATTTGGTTAATGCTGACCGATAGCTTTTGATCATAGGACAACGAACATCATTTGATTCATGATCACCTTTGCAGCGTACACAATTTTGTCGCTTATTACATTGAAGTAGGTGTTGTTGAATATCAGCTGCTTCTTCCCCACAAGTTTTACAGACATCCAATTGATGTGTGCAAGAACTACGAAAATGACCGATTTCAAAACATTTTGAACATAATAAAACTTTAACTGGGCTCATATACTCCATCAATGAATAGCGAACATTATTGGCATAGATAAATTTCTTGCTCAGAAGGTCATTCATTATCATTGGGTTACTAATATCTAAACGAACTAATGTTGTTGGTTGCTTTTCTTTATTTATGATTCTAAATGCGTTGATAACATCCAAATAATCCACTTGTATATCTCTTAACAAATCATCAATATTAACATCAGTTGGTACATTACGTAGAACAATGGAAAATTGTGGAGGTAGATGTTTTGGTACAACACGAGTAAATTTAAAGGTACCTAACGTTTGTGGCCAAGTTTTTTCATCGAATAATGCAGCAAACGACTCTCGATTTTTAACGAACAATAACAATTCTTGTTTTTGTTTCAAACGGTGACCGTCAAATTCGATTTTAATATTATTAATATTTCTATAATATTGTACAAGGTCTTGAATAATAACATTTTCTGCAACATTTTGATTAAATTTAATAATGAACGGTGGAAAAGCATATCTTGTTTCAGCAAATCTTCGAGCTTGTTGTGATATACCATTGATGATATCATTTGAACGAATATTATTTGTCTGACGTTTGGGTATCTGTAGATAGGACGATGTCGAATCAATAACACTATCTGTATTTATTGATGTAGCCTGATTCGGGACAGTGTACGATGCAGAAGAATCCGTTTCAGAACCAGTAGTTATCTGATGATTGATTTTAGTTTTTTTATTGTTACGAACCGGGATAAAATCATTATCATTATTACCTTCATCACCATTTTGATGGGTAGTTTGATACTGTTGTTGTTTAGATTGATGAAAAGGTGGTAGAGAAAGATCATATTGCTGTTGCTGCATAGGAATCACAATCTGATTAGTATTTTGACATGGTGAAATTATTGAGTTAATTGAATGGGGAAAGGGTCGAGCTGCTAGATGACTAACATTATTAATCGTTTGCATTTGCTGCTGCGATCTAAGTTGAGAATTATCCACCATATGTGAAATCACTTGGTGATCTTGTTGAGGGAAATTATTGCTCATTACGGGTAGTTTTGTGTAGTGGAGGTTTTGCATCGGAATTTGTTGTGATGATACATGAGGGTAACAATGCTCATAAGGAAAACCACCATTCATACTACATGAATGAGAAATGATTCGACCTGATTGTGAATCAAAACCAGAATGATACAATACTTGGTTTGATTGATGAATCATTGCCGAGGCAGGGCCCTGAGGGTTGGCCATAACCCCGAAAATTGTTAGTGAAATCGATCACGTTTTAAGAAAAACACGTGGCCGATAAGAAAGAAGAAAGAAAAATACCAACGTAAATATATATATATGTAAATAGAATTCTAGGACAGAAGAAGTAACACGTCTTTACTTGACCACGTTAGAAAGGAGAATGAAAAAAGAATAAATAAACTTAACATATATAGCATTTTTAGAGTTGTTTCCTCGCATATCTTTCATTTTGATTCGTTCATATATATCAAAAAAGGAATCAAGCTATAGGTGCGTTTGGAAACACCTGTTGCAGTTTTAAGTAAACTCGATTTATCAAAATAAAATCACTACGTTCTCGTACTTTGGTTTCTAAAATGAAAAATAGGCTAAGAAACAACTCTAAAATGCTATATATGTTAAGTTTATTTATTCTTTTGTATATACAATGATTTAATTCAAATAAAACATATGAAATAAAAGTAAAAATTAAGTTGTATGATATGTGTAGGTTTGAGTTTGATTTGTATTCATTATCATCAAAAATCAGATTAAAAAAACCTGCTACAACTTATGGAACACCCTGTAATCATATCGAACTCCTCTTGAAAAAGTAACAATACTGAAGGGCTCAAAATGTACATTGATTATTGAATTATAAAAGCAGTTAACGAGTCAGCATAAATATTTTGGGAATAATTATAGTATTTGTTTTAGACTGGGACAATTATAGAATCCATGAACCTGTACAAAGCGCGTCTAGAGAAAATAAGAAAGGACGAAAAAGAAATAATTGAAACATTGTCAATTTTAAATGAAAATAAAGTTCAAACTATTGATACTATTCGAAAACTCGAGCTAGAATATATGTTCCATACAAGTACAGATGCTGAAAAAAAAATGGAATGTGCTGTTAAGGCATATTATATAGGTAAGTCTACTGTAATATTTATTTCCTGTGTCTAGGAGCCACTAATTGTAGTTTAGACATATTGGTGGTGTAACTAAAAAACGACAAAGGCTTTTCAAAATTGCTTTTTTTGCCAGCGACTATTTGTGCATTGTGCCAGCCAGAGATGGAGAGCTAAGAAGTTTATAATAGAATCATCAGAGTTTTCTCAACCAGCGCTACCACGTGACTCATTCAAAAAAAACTATTATTAGTTTTGAATTGTTTCGTTGTACTAGGAAATAGCACTGTATAACTTCATATATCTCGCAGGTCAACTTGTATCTTTCTTTCCATGATACTAAGCTTATATATTTCGTTTTTTTCAGGTATTCATACTGACGATGGTGAATACACAGAGACAATCCATAGAGGACAAGTTAAAGATTTTGTCGGAACAATCTATGATTTAATGACAACAGCCAGAAAGTCTGAGGGTAGGAATTTTTATAAAATATTTGAAATTGAAGAAAATAATTTATTCTTTTCTTTTCGATTTCTCTTAGGAATATCGGCGTTAACTGACGCGATACTTTGTAAATATGATGAACGATCGAGTAATGGAATTCAAATTAAGACAGATGACTTCATTAAAGCATGTATGGAGACTCGTGACCTAATGCATTTAATATTAACACAATGATGCATGAGACTAGAAGCGAGAGTTTTTATTTTATCAGATGTTTCGTTTATTTTTGGTTATAGACGAAAACAATAACAGTGACAATAGAACAAATTTATATAGTCATTTTTGTCTTGTCGAAATTTCTGTAGCTCTCATTTATTTTTGTAAATTTAAACCTTTCATCTGTTGCAGCTTGTTTATAATTTAAATATTCATGTTATTTATTGTTTGGTTATTTGTTCTATTAATGACTGTAGCGACAATTTAAAATTTGTATAAATAACATTTATTTGAATCTACTTACGGCATACCAAACGTTCGTAGAGTGGTACCTTAATACCTTATAATAAGATTTAAGTAACTTTCTTTCTATATAGTCTGGTAGAGAAAAAAAGCTCTATCTTTCTATGCTATTTGATCATACTTCAACTAATATCATAATATTAAATTATCTATAAAATCTATTTCGGCTGGTTGAGTGCTGGTTGTACTAGGTCACAATGTGTGACTCAAGTTAGTTTTCAATCTCTTAATACAATTGTATGAACAATCAAAATGTACGATAAGATGCAGCATGCAAAGCTCTACAATTTGATGTGTCATGTGACTACTTTCAACAAAAAACAATTTTCGACGTTGCAAAGAGGGACCTCAGCCTTAGAATTTTTGAAAAAAATGAAAGTGAGTTTTTTGAAAATCTGAGGCGATAGTTTTGTTCAGAATTTGATGCTGATTTCAACGATATAATTTTTATTCGAAAAAAATTGAGGCCACAAAACCGCCTTATCCGCTTCCCACCTTTATGGTTCGTTCAGTTAAGAAGAGGACCAATTGACAGATATTAATACGCGCAGTTTGTGTATCAGCTGAACGAACGATAAATTTGGGACAGACCATTATACGAATTAATCCCATTTTCCGTTACCTAAGAGCAAAACTACTAAACTAAAGAGAAGCATAAGATAAAGATACGCATTGTGAATGCTTTTGTTGTTATAACTGGATCAAACGCCGAATAAAGCGAAGAACAAACAATAATTGAGTATAGCGACTATAATAAGACCTTGCCGTGACTCTAATATGACAGCGTTATGACACCGCGATTCCTGTATGATACTGAAGTTGCAATAGCAAATGAACCATGAATGAGACGCACTCACGGTAATAGATACAAAGTGGAGTTTGTTTTAGTTCTCCGAGGATACCGTGTTCCTGTCATTGTATTTCGTTTGACTAATCACATTACTGAAACATTTCTCATCATTACTGTGAAAAGCGTAATATTCGCTTCCATTATCCACACACAATACGACAACGGAAATTTCTTCCCTAAATGTGTCTCGTTTTGATTTACAGCACAGGAAACAGTGCTTATTTGCTGGAGTTATGTTGATTGGAAAACAAATAAATAAAAGATTGACATAGATAAAGATATCTGAATATTTCCAACCATATTTCAACGGGAATCTCCTCTAATAACATCCTTATATATCCAACACTTATCTAATCAAAAAAAACCACTATTAAATATGAAACTAGACATTCACATAGAACATATACTTTATAATATCAGATAGATATGAGTAAATGGATAGCAGACATGCACGAATATACGTATATGCGTATAAATGTTCATATGATTGTCAAAACATTAAACTCTTTCGGAGCTCAGATGCAAGAACACGTGGAAACTTTCAACCGAATTACAGATCAGACATGATTTGCATGGTCCTTCACGTCTGAGGGCTTGCATCTTCAACGACCTTGTGGGATGTGATTCATCGATTCCGTTCTGATGCAAAGGAATACCGCTCATCGTCATAGATTTTCTTTTCATAGATCTTGAAAATCTTACAGAAGATCGAACAGATCTCGTTTATGAAGGTCTAATATCTTCACGAGAAACGCGGTCGTATAAAGAAGGGGGATTTTCAAAACAAAATGCCTTTTCTCTGTCGTAATTCATCGTGGGTACTGAAACTGGTCAAATAAGACTTCTCTCGTAGCGGAGGTAAAGGCAGTCTGCTTTTCCTAAAATTTAGCATCTTCCAATCAAAAGTCCCATCCAAACTGTAATGCCTTAGCAGACTGTATCCCGTCTCTAAATATAGCTGACTCGAAAACATCATTTAAATTTTTCCAAGAGTTCGAGTCAGCTGCATTTTAGGGGCTTGGTTCATTCTGTCAAGACACCACAGTTTATCACTATATATCATTTTTCAGATAGAGCAAATCTGAATTAAACGCCACTGAAAGTAGCTCGAAACTCTTTAGCAGCAAAAAGTTCTGTAACATTCTCTAACTGACTTGAGACAATGGCTCGTTCATCTCTGAAATTTCATCATTAGTTCTGTTATCAAAATCTCGAAACCAAAGGACACATTAGCCGGCGTCAGTTCGAAATACCGATTACAGCTAGCATTCTACCTATTAATTCTTATATCATTCACTTATCTTTGTAAATCTCACTCTTATTGCCAAAATAAAGAGATGCTAACTGTTCTTTGTATGTGAAAAATATTTGCTTGTCAAGAGACGAGGACACCTGTGCAATAAACAGAAGACATAATCAAAAAGTACTTCATATTTACTTAATTATGCAAGATGTAGTTTCTTCATAACTTTAAAAACAATTTTATTCTTCACCTTATTCCAGACAATCTTTTATTGACTGTCCATAATGAGTGACATCACTCAGGTAACGACTTTATTGTTTCACGTTAAAGGAAAATGTGAATAAATACACTTCTTTCTTTTCAGTGCTTTGTTAGAATTTATATATTCAGAACGAAAAAAAAAGAGAGAAATTAATAAAAGGCGTTAGTTTCCACGCAAAACCAGTATTTCGTCTGTTTTTCGAAAACTAGACTAGGCACCAAAAAACAGACGCCGGATTCGGAATCTACGTGCAAAAGCCGACCAGAATATGTATACTGTTTCCTTCGAAACCGGACGCAAAATAATTTGCGCGATTTGCTATGAAATCTATCCTGATTGCACTTTTTCCTTCATAATAAATAAAAGATAAAGGTTTTCTGTGATAATGACATCAT